GTTTAGGATTTGGGGGTTTAGGGCTTAGGGGTTTAGGGGTTTAGGGTTTGGGGGTTTAGGGTTTAGGGCTGTAGGGGTCAGGGGGCACCCTAAACCCTACATAAACCCTAAAACCTAGCCTAGAGATCCTGAAGCCCCAAAGCCTTGACAGACACAGCAATACAAGCTCGGTCGCATGTAGGTTTTGAGGGGCTTAGGGCTTCAGGGTTGAGGGTTTCAGGCTTTAGGGTTTAGGCTTTGGGGTTTAAAGGTCGCAACCATGATATTCGCAATAGCAGACCTTTATAGCAGCCTCTTATACGCGGCCTTCTTCTAAGCTTTTCGGAACCCACCCAAACCCCAAGATCCCTTCCCAAGCCTGAGCCCCAGAGCAAAACCCTCACAGGCTGAGTCAGTTCTTTAAGTCGGTCGGTTTAGGGTTTAGGGTTTAGGGTTTAGGGTTTAGGGTTTAGGGTTTAGGGTTTAGGGTTTAGGGTTTAGGGTTTAGGGACTTACGCCCCAAGCCCCTGAAAGAGTAAGCCCTAAACGCTGAGTCCGAAACTCCAAGCCCCACATCCTAAACCCTAAAACCCTAAACGCCGAAACCCTAAAGCCCTAATTGAAGCCCTAAACCCCTAAAACCCTAATGAAAGCCCTAAACCCCTAAAACACCCCTAAACCCCCAAACCCCTAAACCCTAAACCCTAAAGTCCAAAAACCCTAGGCCCGAAGCTCTGAAGCTCAAATTGCTGAGGTTTATAGTGGACGAGCTCAAGCCCATTTTCAATCGAGAGGCCAGCTTCTGCAAGGGCTTCTCTACAGTGCTCTATAAAAGATCTATGGGTTTTCGGGGTTAGGGATTTAGGCCAAGTTTTTTGGTTCAGGGTCTTGGGGTTCGCGGTTTGGGCTTGAAGGGTTTCAGGTGGCCTGGAAGGCTTCGGTGTGCTTGTTGGCATTACCTGACAAGGTTAGTCACATTTAGGGTTTAGGGTTTAGGGTTGGGTTAGGATTAGGGTTTAGTCAAGTGTCTTTGTTCGAAGTTGTTTCTGGGTTGGCGCTTCGTCGGTGTGGGTGAAAACACTTCCGGAGTGCTTTGTCTAGTAATATAGGGCCTTAATAATAAGCAGAAATTAGAATAGGGTTTTGGTGTATCTTATGCTATACTTCTACTATCGAGTCCCAACATAGTATCGGTAATTTTTGAAGCCCCTATATCAAGATAGTATTATCTTCATTTAAGCGACTGCGGAGAAAGGCATGGGGTGTCTACGGGCAAGTAATATAGAAGCCTAGATATTACCAATTAGTCCCTAGGGTTCCTTACTAGAAATAGACTATAAAGGATCCTAAGATCCTGTTCTAAAACCCGAAACCCTAAACCTTCAACCCTGAACCTGAAAACCTAGGATTCGTAGGGTTTAGGGTTGAGGGTTTTAGGTTTAAGGTTCAGGGTTTGGGGTTTAGGGTTTAGGGTGAAAGAAAGTCCCCAACCCCCCCGGCCATGACGCGCACGTTGCAAGACCAAGCAGGTGTGTCAACAAGGCAGTGCGCGCAGTACTTCGTTACGTCTACATTGGCTCTCTGCTGGATGGAGTCTGGTCGTGCCACGCTTGCTACGACTATGACGCCTGCTACGACCATGACCTCTTGATGATCCTCCTGCTCGACCACTACCCAAAACCCTAAACCCTAAACCCTAAACCCTAAACCCTGAGACGTCTTCGGGAGCCTACTCTCCTTCTGGGTCGCGCACCGGGGCATCCTGTACACGTTTCGGCAAGGTGAGTTCTGCCTGATGTCTTAGGGCAGTTAACGTCGAGTCTACCCAATTTAGTGTAAGCCCGAATGGCCAGGACAGTCGTGCGGACGAAAATCCACTGCACTTAAACAACCCTAAACCCTAAAATATAGAAGCCTAAATAACTGCCTATACTATTTTGCAGGTTTCCTATTATAACTACAGTTTAAAGGAGCCCAGAAGCCTATGCTAATTGTTAAGGCCCCTACATTAGGCCCTAAGTGTTAATGCCCCTTCTTTAGGACACCAGGAGGAAGGATGAGAACAGATTCCAGTGAAGATCCAGTCAGCTTTCGGGGTCATCCTCGTTGCAAGAAGCTTTAGGGTTTGGGGTTTAGG